CATGAAAAAAACCAACAAACTGGAAGTCTTCCATCCAGCCTAAGATGATGAATACAAATATACTAAATCCAAAATATTTTTCCCAAAGTGATTTCCCACCCCCCAGTAAGGCATTCCTCAGTATACAGTTGTTCCCCTGGTGTTAGAGCTATTCTTTGAACTGTCCAAGTATGTTTTACCATACATATAAATAATTTAAGAAGTCTTGCAGCTTCCAACAAATTTTCCTCCTATGTGCAGCAATCATCAAAACAGATGCTGGACCTCGAAGCGAATCTCAACTTCCCACCTCATCTGTATCTCCCTGAGTTAATTCCTTATTCCCCCCCCGCCCCATCTAAGGTTGCTCTGTCAGCATTTCCATGAATTTTATGGGTTTTCTACAGTCTAGCCTACACATAAATGAGTATAACACATTTAGAGAAATATCTCACCATGCAGAAAACTGTGTAGAAGCATTTTGACTATAAGTGACCAAACAGCACTACAGAATGTAACTATTTTATTAAGGGTATGAGACTTTCAACTTTTGGTTTATAAGAAATTTACTCTAATAACTTCTATTTTATATAGCTATGCTTCAATAACCAAATCTCCAGAATAAGTTTGATAACCCTTTAAAAGACACAGACACACACACAAAAGAAAACCTAAAAATCTGTCTGACTACAGTAACAGGAGTGGCATGCTGCCACTAAAAACTTCAGGCATTATTCTGAACCAGCAGGGCATGACAGAAGTTTACACACCCTTGCTGTTGATGCATGACTGCTATGTGTGGAAATTGTATTTTAACTAGCTCAAAACACAGTAATCAATACAGTTCCTGCATTTTTATTGCAATCCAGCATCAGAAAGCACTAAGATTAAGTACATTGTACTCTCAAAGCTCTTCTACAAATAGAGACTCCAGTGGTGCACAGCTTCATGGTCCATCACATTGATTAATTATCAATAATAGTATTTGCAGATTTAAGGGCAGCTGACATGGTGTGTTTTAAGCAGTATGTATCACATAATGACTCAGCATCACAAATACCAATACAGTTCAGGGAGTTGTGTATCTAATAAGACTAACATTTTTTCTTACACATCCAAGATTTCACCCATTGGCAGACATGCAAATGCTTTGGTTTAGACTCTAAGTAGCCAAGGGCTAACACGAGCCAACAGAGTGGGTGACCCAGTGTCACACAAACTCCCACTGCTAGCATTGTCACATCAAAGCTTGTACCCTTCAAGCACTTCATGCTCGCTTACTTGCTTTAAAAGCCTAACTTGTGCTACACTGAGTGAAGTTGCTGCACATGGTAACGCAGCAGGGAGGATATGGGTGCTGGGGAGGGAGGAGGAAGAACAAAGGTTTTGTCTCTGCCTTAATCTTGGCAGCTGCTTAAAGCTTTTTCTCAACCCCATTGTCTTTAGCTGGAGTACATTTGTTATCTGATCTCAGCAGTTGTCATTTTGAAGACTAGCCTGTTAAAAATGTGACTGCAATTTTGCTTTCCTCGCTGAAACTATTTTTGCTTTAGGACATCTTTCAGACGAGCAACTGGATTTTTGAGCAAGTCCACAGGGTAAAACCAAAACAAAACCCATAAACCAAACTGCAAAAAAAACAGCTTTCTTGTTTTTTCTGTACAGTTAACAACAACCATTGACGAGTCGCATGTTCAGGCACAGATTTATGCTCAATAATGATGGACCATGTAACAACTCCTTACCTGTAATATACTGATGGAACAGGAGACTTTTTGTCTTTGTTTGCCTATACTATTTAATAGAAGCAGCATTTTCATACTAAATAATTGGATCCAAAGACTACTGTCCCCACTAGTAAAATCTGTAACACAAATTCTATCTTAACTTGTCCTCTGTGAAAATAGTCCTTCAAAAATTAAAGGCTTTTGAAACAGCCTATTTTATCTGACACTGTCATTTTCAAAATACTAGACTCAGAAGGGAAGCAAGTCTACATTAGTCCTGTAGTTTGAATCAACAGTCCATTTTGAAGCAAATCTTCCAGTCACCCTCACTTTCTGTGCTTTGGTTGACATTGCAGAATGCACAGACTTTTGGATGAAAGCAAGCCCTGAAGCGCACCCCTGGATTCCCATGTAACATCATGACTGCTAACAGGCAGTCAGGCCAAATGAGCAGACGAAACTTAGCCTGAAGCAAAACGTCACTGAAGCAAAATAAGTAAGCGTGGCATGGATATCAGGTCCTCATCAGTGATCACTCTGCTTTACAGATGCACTCCTGCTGGGCAACATAACTTACTCATGTATAGACATAGCCAGAATGTGCTAACAATGTGGACTTCCCTTTCCTCTACACCTTTCTACCCAGGTACCTGTCTCGTCACTAACATTGACAAGACAGATAAAATCCTTGTCCAGATGATTTATGTATCCACAAAAACCAAAGACCATGCAAGATAACCAAAAGCCAAATGGCTCATGAATGCTCTGGTACCTGCATTTCCTCAGTATTTCTAGGATCCAAAAACTGCTGCTCAAAATAAAGTTTATCCACAGAGACAATACGGCTTTAGGATTTACAAGCTCACTCATACTAAAGAAAACACCTGAACTTAAAGACTTAAGCCCACTGTGGGGAAAAAAGGCTTAAATCATTATACCGGTAAACATTCCCGAAGCCTTACAGGCCCACTTACTGGTTCATAATCTGCTGATGTAACCAATATCACATGTCCCAAGGCATTCTTGTTTAAAGACTTCTCATGTTTGGAGAATTGTTTTTTAAACAAGCCTGACATCAAGAGGAATAGCAGGAGCCAGTAGCTAATATTAGGCATGCCTGTCTAGTTGGATGCATCTTCAAAAAGCTGAAGCATTTCAAGCAAGATGTTTTTTCCAAACAAGGATAGAGTTACCTTCTTCAACAGCTGCTCAACTTCTTGCATCTGCGCGCTACGATCAGTGACAGACACTTTTGTATACTCCTGCTTTTTGCTGAGCCTGCTCTTCCAATCTTCTTCACCACTCTTCTTCAGCAATGCCAACCTAGAAGAAAAAACATGCCAAAAGGTAGCTTTAAACACTGTACTTCCCGCTATCCTCAAAAGTTACCCTTATTGTTTCACTAATGCTGCATTCAAGAAAATTTAAAATTAAGTTTTTGATTATTAACTATTAACTATAGTTATTTACATTTCATACACAAAGCTCACAAACAAACACCAAGTCTTTACTGAACATGTTGAATGGGAATCATCTGTCAAAACACAGACATCTAGATCTGAGACAGGCACCCTGGTTAATTTGTGTACTCAGTGGAAATTGCCAATATAGTCAAGGGAGACCAAGGTACAACACAGATCACCCTAAAGCAGACATATATATACACATTAATCATTGATTTTTCCCTCCATTCTGTCGATAAAGCATGGATAGTGACTAGCTCAGCTTCGGATGCTTATGCTGTAGATGTCCAAAGTTAGTAAGATGAATCCTACCTTTGGTCTGTACTGAACTCACTAAAAAAAGAAAAAATTAAAAAGTTATTTTCTTTAAAACCCAAGGAAAAAAAAAAAAAAAGAGGTCTATTCAGCAGGCACCCACCAATTAGGTCTCATCAGGCACATCAAATGACAACTCTGCAGTCACTGCTTTCACTACAACTCCAGTGACTGAAGTTACTATCAGACTCCTAGGGATCACTTAGTGTCTCCTTGAGTAGCTCAGGCATTGCTGTGACAAATCAGTAATACCAATGCACTAGTAATTTGGTGCTAACTATAAGATAGCTGTGAAATCTATCTGCAAGATTCAACTCATTTAAAGGATGTCTTATATTTAAAGTGTGGATTACCAATAATCCCAGGGAAGTAGGATCTCTTAAAAGTGCTATTTCCTAGTCTTGAGCAAAATTCTGAATGTAGCACAAAGGGACACTGACTGGCTTTGGTGGGAACAGCATGTAGATTTATTTTTCTAGAATTAGAACCTATTTGTCCATACAAACCATGAGGTGATTAGCTTTGGGTGTAGGGGAAATCAGTTAGGAACACAAGGTCTACACAGGCATGATCTTCAGCTTCCCTTCCTCCAAAATTTGTATTTGTATGAATTTTCTAGCTTTCAGAAATCATTCTTAGTACTCCATAAAATGTGTATCTGCAGTACCTGTGCAAACAGTTGCATCGGTCCACTAAATTTTTATTTTAGTTGAATCAAGTTTTACTACATAACTTTCTTTAATTTAGGGCATTTCAGTAAGGATTATACAAAACCCTTAACCCTATTAATATTTGAAGAGGTTCAGTAGCTAACGTGTTGGCAACCTATTTTGACCACAAGATACAGAGATTCCTTTTTAGACAGGCGACTACTGTTACCCTCACAGTAAAGTCTTGTACTGAAATTCTGAGAAGGAAGAGGTAAGACTAAGTATGTCTAGCCAGAAGCCAAGTTTCAGGCAGCTGCTTCCTGCAGAAAGTCCAGGGGGTGCAACCATCCCACTGACCTATTCAAAGATGACCAATTGGTCCTAAGACAGTCAGTTGAGAAAAACTTGAGAATGCAGAAAACAGTAAATCCACAGAATACAATGGCAGTAGTAATGTTAGTATTCAAGAAAGCAGTTACTTCTTTCTCTTCCTGCCCCAGCAGGCAGCACTGTCAGGCTTCACATTTCCTGGTTGCTTCATACCTCACAGCACAGGATGAGTAGGGGTGAGAAGGACTCACAATAAGGAGTTGAGGCCATGGTCAGTTTCCAGAACATATACAAGATTTCACTGCCCAGAACTAATCTTCTGGAGTGCATCCATGCATGTGTGAAACTGTGGAGGAGACCAAGATGGGACTGAATTGCCACCATGCAGTTGAATTACCTTCAGTAGTTATGTTCTCTCAGGTCAGCTTTGCTTAGAAATGATGTGATAATTGAAGCTGGAACGCATTTTGATCAGCTTTGGCCTGGTGGGTTTGGTTTTAAAAATGTCTATAGCTGCTCAGTGTAGCAGGCAGAAAAAAAATTATTATTTTTTTAAACCTGACACTACTACAGAGTATTTGCCCTAGACCTTTGCCTCAAACAGCTCAGCTGATCAGGAAGAGAAAAACTTGAATTCTAAGAATGCTTCTGTGTCTCTGGAGACTTTGTTTTCTCCTCTGTCGTAAGCATGGATTCATACTAGCCCTCCACTCTTCACTTATACATACAATGAAACAAATTGTTCCTAGAGTGAGAACACACATTTGTCTGTTTTGAGCAATGAAATCACCACTTGAAGAAATATGAAATTGCTTGTGAAATATGAAAAAAAATGAAAAGAAATATGAATTGCTTATGAAATAAGAAATGGCCCAGTATGCCATTGAAAACTTCACTGCTGTGTAAAACCTAAAGCCATGCATTTGTTTCGAACAATGGAAACAGCAATAAACTCAGACTGCCCTGGCTCAGCAACAATTGGAGGGCACCCTTTTGTATCAATAAAGATACAAGAACTACTGAATTGGTTCACAGAAGCAACCTCACCAGCCCAGTAGCTTAAAACAAAGTAGACAGCAGTTGATTCTTTGGAAAGTCTGCAAAAAAAAGGCAATTATTTGGCCTAACCCTTGAACTTGTTTAAGGCCTGCTGCCTGCTAGTTTCATTGCATACCTCTAGTTTTCCACTTTAGATAAATAATGAATAATCATTCTTTATTTACTTTCAGAGTTTTATTTATACTGCTTTTGCCTCCAAAAGTAAAAGTTCCTTTTACAATCTGAAAAAAAATCAGTTTTACTCTTTTCTTGAAAGAAAGAAGCTTTTTATATATCTGCCCATCTTTGATAGCTTGCTCTGTATCCTTCTTGCACCTGCTACTGAGATAGAATATCTTGCCATCAAGATAGAATGATCGTCATCCCAGAGGTGTCAGGATGGGTTCCAAGCAAAGGCTTTCACAGCTGAAGGCAAAATGTTCAATTAATACTGAAGGGAAATAGAAACAAGATTTAAACAAAGGTTTTTCCTAAACAAGGAGTGTTGTATGAAAGGCCTTGGCAAAAATCCTGGCAAAAAATGTCAAAAATGACACTTCTTTCTTCTGTGGCAATAGCTTGTTAGCCTTGAGACAGATTAAACTGGACACAGGCTAGGCTTTCACACATACTCCATTGGCTGCACTTGACCAGTTCCTTTCAGTTAAATTACAAATCCTGAAGGCCAATATGAGATAAGTAACTACAAAAAGGAAGCCGACTGTTAGAGAGTGCATAAATATACTATAGTGGGGACTAGTCTGCATAAGAAAGTCTTGCTCTGGTGTCCTACATCAAAAAAGGTTGAAAATTAAGTTTAGGCTGGGTTGTTCCTGAGAAGGAATGAAAGATGGTAAGAGGTCCACCTGAAATTAGGGCTATCTGTAGTTTTTTTTAAATGGTGATTGCCGCATGCAGCTGACTTCTAAAGTGGAGCTGATAGGGTGGCCTTCTAGCAACTTTGGTCTCCATAAATGCACAATCACAGGTAGTTACATGCAATGTATGCTTCATTTGAAGTCCTCCAAGACATTCCTCTTCCTGAAGGCAAGACAATTTAAAAAAAAAAAAAAGTTTCCATCACTCATATTATATATCAGTGGATTGGCCCTGGCTGCCTAAAACTACTCAAAGAGTCTTTGCTCCCTCTCACCTCCAAGCTGTGTGTTTGCAGAAGAGAGGATAGGGATAGGTGTCTTTTCCTTGAAAAATCATGATTTTTAGTCTTCTGTATGAAATAGGTAATTCTGAAAATGCCAGGCATGCACTCACTCCACAGGATAGTATTAGTTCAGTGAAGTGAGTCTTTGTGGAAAACCACTTTCATCCAAACGAGCATGCATGCATCCTGCCCAAATATCATTACATCTGTGGAAAAGCTGTTCTTCCATAAGGTGAAAGAATGTCTGACAGAGCCAGAAAAATCCACTGGATGCAAAGATGAAGTTAGTGAATGTAAAAGAAAAAAAAAAATCCAAAGTGTAATAGTTAATCTTTAGCAGAAACGTTCTTTGAGGTTTATGAATACTTGGCATCAACTACAGCCAAGAAAAAGAAAAAGACTAGTTGTAGTTTTTTAATTCTGTGCCAAGAAGTAGACTACTGTGGTATTTTGGAAGGCTAAAACATTTTGATACCAGCTCTGACATTTACAGACATTTGTGGAATCAGAGTATACAGATTCCTGACAAGAGAGCAGGTATTTACTTTTGTCAGCTTTGGGACTGACTAGACAGTCTTGGAGGCCTAACGAAAGCAATTTCACATAGGTGACTGACAGTCTTTAACATCAGTTCCTCAAGAGATCAACTCAACTGAAGCATTTAACTTAGGACCGAAACAGCTGCTAATACTTGGATCTTCCCTCCAACCTCTTTCTCTCCCACCAGGATCAGGGAAGGAAGATCATTTACCACCTATAAACCAGAAGTTACTGGTCTTAAACCTTACTTGCCCAGACTGTTGACATATTTACAGAAGAGGGGTAGTGGGGGGTGAAGGTTGTTTTAAACAAAACAACAACAGTGAACTGAAAAAGGTACGTACATCCTTCAGAAGGGGGACTAAGATTGCACAGCTGTTGTAGCTGTCCCTACACTCCCGCTTTATGTTAAGGCAAGAACACGGATTGGGGATGCTCTGTAAATGAGGATGACTCACATACCTCCTAGAAATACATGAATTTAAGAAACACACTTTGGAATAATGTTTAAAGAAAAAAAAATGGTTAGGAGTTCCTAATATCATATACACTTCACCAAGTGAGGGAATACTTTTACACAGTGAAAGTTTAGTCAAGCAGCTATTTTTATTTATTGGTTCTGCTTTCACTGCAGAAAAACTGAAATAAAAATAAGCCTATTTGTCAACTTGAAGCAAATAATCATAATTTTACTCATTGGACTGCTACCAGATCCTTTCAGAGCTGCGGATGAATTTATATTCTCAAAGTTTTGACTAAATTAAAATGACTTTTAAAAGTACTGCAGCAGCTATTGGAGCTTCAGCCATGACCTCCTACTGTCCCCAGAAGCGCAGAAGACTTAACATTTTGTTTCAGATCAGAATGATCTTGGGTTGGAAAAAATATTTCTAGTACTCCCACAAACCTGTCTAATTTATTACCCTTTTAAAACCCCTACAGTAAGTTCTCAGAAGTCAAAATGGCAACCATGTATTTCTGAATTAGAGAGCGAAACATCACAGAGTCTATCCCTGACTCCCTGTACTCAGTTTATTTAAACTAGACTCCCATAGACCAACAAAAAACTGGGTATTAAAAAAAAAAATCACATTATACCTGTTGTAATTGAAAGCAGAACATGGGGAAGTATATTGAGTATATCAGTATAAATCTAACTACTACTATAAATCAGAACTACCGTATGTATTTTTTACAACTTTCATTTTTTGAACTACTTATTGATAATTCAGGTGGCTCTTTCAAAATCAGATTAACACATTCTTTTGAGCAGTAATTCTCATTCACCACCATCTGCTTTATAAGCATGTCAGATTAGCTGCATGTTTCTGCTGTTAGTATTTGACATCTAATAAAGCCTAATAATCACTGCTTAGCTTTTTCAGAAACAGGTTTAAAGCTTCTTTTTATACCATCAGTCTAATAACTGTATTTATAGAGATAATTTTAAAAAGTGAAATTTAAGTACCTTTCCTTAATTGACATTGTTTTGCTGGAATTATCAAGGACATCCTCAGTTGTTTGTGCTTTGTTCTCTCCAACGGAAAACATCTCACAGGAATTCTTATAAAATTTGCCTTCCAATTGTTCGGAGAGCTCCTGCAGTCTACAGGATGCCGCAGCTGCAGTTTGTGAAACTGTCCTCATTGCTGATGTGCTGGTGAGTTCAGAAGTAGGCTCAGCATGGTCTGCCCATTCAAAAGAGAAGTGCTGAATTAGACCTAGTGCTATTCTCAAACATATTTTACATTGCTAACACTGAAGCAGCAAATCTGTTTTTTAACATTCAAATCACACGCTATCGTAACAGAAAAAAAAATTCTCGCTGAGCTGGAGTAGAAAGATTAATCATGCAATATTATCTGCTGCACAGACTGGCCATTTGTGACTGAAGTTCACATGAAGCCACAGAATATCATGTTTAATACACAATTCTGAACTTCATATGGATGAGGCACAAACTGCTGTGGCTGTCATCACACCAAGAGGCAAACAAATGGACAGATGAAAGTGAGAGGGGAACAAAGAGCAGGGGAAGAAAAGCAGACAAAATTCAAATAAGAAATTGGTAAAGCAGTTTAATGCATAAGTAGCATACTAGGAGGACATTTAATAGCTTAATAAAGGTATTATTTTCTAGAAGGGTGTTGGGGGCTTTTTTGGTTGTTTTTTCAAGCAGCAGTTAAACCACTGGAAAAGCTGCCTTGATGAAAAATAAATGCACCACTACAGTTGTCCTTAAGGAAATATAAGTAATCTTAATTTTTCTTTTTGAAATTTTACAAGCACAACACCCCAGTGATACACGACCGTTCCTGTTTTATCCCAGTCTCCGTCTCCCCTGCAGTCACTGAAAGTTAGTTGGATAGAACAGACACTGCTTTTGAGCAATACAGGCAGAACTATACCTTCCTCCCTACGTGCCTTCAAAGACGATTAAATTAAAAATAAATTAACTTCACAGGATGAAGACAAAATTGCTCCTAGCACTACAGGGTACTGTGCTCCTGTACCCCATCATAATAAAACAGAAAACTAATACAGCATCATTCTAAATTCAACAGAATAGAAGGCTTTATGCAATGACCAAATTGACTGATTATTTCTAAAGCACTTTGTTTAAGGATGGGTGAGTTTACTTATTAAGTTTGAATTATGCTGTACATATAGAAATGTAATTGCTCTAAGAATCACTTGGTTTATATTTTATCACCACATTGAAGAGAAAATAATAGTAGTTTTGCAAAAATAGTTATCTGAAAATTACCCGCTATTAGCTATATATGTATATATGTAGTTAATATATAACTATATATGCATGAGAAGGCAACCATTAAGTGCAGACACTTGACCCAGGGCAGCAAGTTTAAGTTTGTTCAGCATTTTGGAGGGCAGGGGCAAGGGCAAAAGAGGAAAGGATAAATATTAGCTTCAGCATATAATACCATTTCTTTCAAAGTAAGAAAATCTGAATAAAATTGATCCATCTTTAAGGGCTGAAGAATTGAAAGAATAACAAAGAGAAAACTGTATTTGTTAAAAATTTCGCAGGTATTTCTCTACTTTTAAGCCAGTTAAAAAAAAAAAAACAAACATAACCAGCCTTGATAATGTTTGAAATCAAGGTGTTTAAAACTAGAGAAATACCACCATTTGCTGAATAAGGAAAGAGACTACACTAATAGTAAGTATATACTGCACCTCTTTGCAAAGTCTTGCTTTTCATAACACTTTCCAAATCCATGTTTTCTTCAAAGGACTGGCCTTCTTTGACTTCCCATCTACCTTGCATGCCAGTATCGACTTCCTTCTGTTCAAGAGGCTGAGAAAGTGCTTGTGAACTAAACAGTTCCATGCTGCCCTTCCTCAGGAAGCTGTATATTGTCTCTTTATGGTGGTCTCCTGTTTTTTCAGGAACAGGATGTGTGGTTTCTTCCTCAAAGGAGCTGTACTTTGTCATTTCATTAGCTTCATGTGCTAGAAACCTCTTTCTCTCTTCTTCATGCTTCTTTGATGCTCTTTTGCTTTCTAGCACTTCCATTGAGGGCTGCCACTGTTCTGACTTCTGTGTGCGTTTTCCTGAAGAGTCCGAGTTTTGTGCTGAAGAGTGGAATCTCAAATCAGCTCTAGTGGCAGCACTCACGCTTCCATCACAAGCTGGCTTTACGTGCAGGTCTCCAGCATACAATGGAGAAAGGGTAGATGCCATCGTTGAAACCGATGTTGCAACTGCAGTTGACAGGGGAGTAATTTTTCCACTTTCGTGTTGTACCTATGGGGAGGAAGAAAAAAAAAAACCCAAAACCAAAAAACAGACTTAAAAGTTCTGAAATCATCGGTTCCCAAAATCAGTCTAATCACATCAATTCTTCAAAGGTGTGCTTCCATATGAATATAGTGCTCTACAAATGTAGACTAGAGACAGGTAAGGAAGGCAACAACACCCCATAATTTTGCTGCAGATGGATTATTCCATCCAAGGACGAAATGACTGCTCGTGAACAGCAACGTCTTTAGCAACAACGTGTGTATGTGCAGCATGCAACATGACATTGTGTCAGGGCTCCATGAAAAGACTCGTACTGACTTGGTACTACGCAGCACTGGGGAAAGAAATTAGTTCAGTTTCCAGACACCGGATGACATGCCATGTGCCCAAGCTAATCAACTCTGCATCTCAGCAGGACTAATTAGTTTTGGCACAGCTCTGCTCCGATACAGTTATGCTCTGGAGTTAGCTCAGTGCCAGAGAGACGCTGCTCCATGCTGTCCTACATAGGGCAGACATTCCTGATGCTTCTGCCACATAAATCACCCTCATGCAGGACTGTTACTCGAAGACTTTTTCAAATACAGAACATTTGCTGTCACGTACATCTCTGAACAAAGTATTTGAATCTAAGAAGCATATTTAAAAAACCTCCAAATTTGCTTTGCTGGCCTCCACAGTGGAACAATTATCTTTTTTAGTCTTCTTCCATAATAAAGTTTTCCTATAGACGGTTAAGATGCAAAATTTTTCTGAAATGCAGAGCTTGACTTTCTCTTCTCTGAAGGAGACAAAAGCTATGAAACAGACTGACAAACATGCCTTCATACACATCAGGAGAGGATTTTTGTTTGGCTATTTTGTTGTTTTCTTAAGCTGCAGGGCTAGTGAACAGCATGCAAAAGGAATAGACACAACTCCCACCAGCAGGAGGAAGTCAACTGAAAACTTAAAATACACATGCAAATTCCATAAAGCATGGACAACAGTCATTTGTTACACAAATTGGAAAGCAGAGCAAAGACTAATACGCTAGCTCAAAAATTCCAAAGCAAGATTAAGTAAATAGTTACCAGTTTACTCTTTTTCCATTGCATCTATCAGAATTAGAAATTTAGAGGAGATCAGCAAAGGGATTTCAGCTTTAATTACAAGATATTTACATTTTCACTTATGTATTTTGGTAACGTAACCTCTAGTTATCTATTTTTTGATACCTTTCTTTTGTTTCTTCCTAGAAAAAACTGTAACTACATCTCAAAACATCCCAACATTCCAAATGAACAGTTCACTATAGAAAGTATTTTTCATAATACTCTCCCATTGAACTTTGTTCAGTCAACTCTAGTTTCTTTTGCTAGGTTTAGAAAGATGACAAAATATGCCTCCTCTGCATTTACTTGCTTGAGCAGCAAGCTTGTTCTGTACAACTCTGAAAAACTAATGTGACTGTCACTTCTTTCCCATCTGCTTCAGCCCATTCCTGTTTATCACCTTCGTGACTCCCAAACAAGTTAGTGACACAATCATTAAAGCGGCCAGGCTGTGACAGTGGTTGGCACGTGGAAAATGAATGGAAAGAAGACTATGTAAGGTCTGGAAATGTTGCTAAAATAAATTTTCCAAGTATTTACTACTACTTCATGCCTAAGTAAAGTAGGCATAAAATACAATTATCTATCTATACAGCTTTGCACCAATACAGTTAGAGAAATCCTGCCTTCTCACTATTCTATTATTATAATGTGGAAAATGCATAATCATGAATGAAGCATATAGAAAGAGAAGGTCAGGAACTTTCTAACACACAGATTGATCCAAATCCCTAGAAATATGACATGCATAGGAGTTGTGCTTCACTGTTAATGTAATTTCTTTTAAAGCTGTAATACTAAGCGACTGATGTTTATGCTGTTGTGAACATCAGCTCTGAAAGACCACTGCTGGGCCATCTTATGCTTGAACTTCACTGAAAAGGCATTCCTTTGCAGCTCCAGTTACATGAAGGATTCCAGAACAGGAAACCCAATTCCACTGCACGTATTAAATAATTTCATTTTGACCATGACTTTCTGAATTTCAAAAGTATTTTGCTTTTAAGGAAAAAAATAAAAATAAAAATCAATGCCCCCTCCCAGAGGAAAATGACAGAGTAAGTCCTGACGAATAAGGGAAAAATATAGTGCTTTCAGGAAAGAGTCTGAAAGTTGCACATGACAAAGCTCTAAAATTCCCTGAAAATACATCTAGAGCACTATGATATGTGTCATGGTTTTTACCTCTTTGGTCATGAATTTACTTATGGAAGACATGTAATATTCTACCGGAAAAGACAGACACTGTGAAAGGTACAGCATGTACTAATCAGGAAATGATATACTCTTGAATTACTTAAAAAAGAAAATCACACCAATGAGGTCAAACATTTTAGAGGATGTTGTTCCTCAGTGTCATAAAGACTGCTTCCTGACAAGCTATTTTGTGCGAATATGTCATGACCCCAGTGTGTAGCTCAGAGCAAAGGCCAGCTGTTACAGCATCTTACACTGAAGCGGTTTCCTCCAATAAAGAAACAAATGAAAAAGACCTAAGATTGCACTTACCTGCTCAACTTCTCCAAGAGTGACTGGCTGAGTCTGGTAACGAGCATTCATTCTCCTGTGCCTAATATCTCCTCGACTCCTTGTGGAGATGGCCCTGGATACTGGTTGAGACAGTTTGTTAAACAAAGCCATCTTTTCTGCCAAACTTAAGGTGGAAGAATCTGGTTCATCAGACTGATCTTGCCCCATTGCCTCTTTGGCTGCTCTTATCTCCTCTTTAGCTAAAATTTTTTGGTGTGCTGATGCCTGCAGGCTGAAGAAACAGAACTGGAAATTAGTTTTGATGAAGACGTTACGAAGTTTTAAAATCTCAACCTGATAGAAGCAGAATTGCACATGAAGCGCAATAGCCAATGTAATATAGCAGCCTAAGTGGTTATGCAGTGGTTCAACATTGGCATGATGAATTCTAATTCAGCAGCTGCAGATTTAAAAAAAGTTAAATTTTCATTCTCAAATTCATTTGATTAGGACACAACAATTTTTTAAAAGGGGAACTCAAGTTTGAAGAGAGACTTTTCAGACCAATCTCTATACAGAATACAGAGCTATGGAGAGAGATTTAAGATGCCTGCTGTAGAACAAACACGGGTCCTACAGTACAATTTACATAAAATTCAATTTTATTAGAAATAATTTGTGGAACATATACAATAAAAACATTTAAAAGATGGATTTAAACTCCAAGTTAGTGCTGCTTTTAGGTTAGCATAACAGTAATGCCTCTTATAATTTGAAGTGGAACAGATCAGACTGTCTTTTGTTCCGAGTTATCTAGAGTAACTCAACAACAAAAAACAGCTTTGAAATATACTCCATTAATTTTAAAGATTGTTTGACCAATGCTGAAGGCAGACACATTCATTCATAAAAGCTGTAATTGCATTTGTCTCTACAATAATATATTTTATTCACTTCTAGTTAGATTCAGCCACATTTATGGAATTAGTAGTATTCTCTTTTTTTTTTGTTTTTCCCTGTCGTGGTCTTTGCTAAAATTCTCTCATTCAGAACAGGCAAACAGTATTCTGCAACTTTACCTATAGGTGGTGCAATTTCTTATCTTTCCTTTAATTTTGCAAGCTAAAAAAAATAATATATGTAGAGACAGAGAAAGAGGAAATGTACTGCTTGTGAAATCAAGCACACAACTTTGGTATTTTCATCTCCAGATGACATTACCATATTAAAAAAAGTACAAGACCAAAGAGGGTTCTGCTAGGTATGCTCACATGCAAATTCATTTCTTTCAGAAAGAAGAATATGTTTCTGAATAGGTAAGTGTGGTTAGAAAAGTCCTGAAAACAGATGCTTGACAAAAAAAAAGCTGCATCATTCTATCATGCAAACATAAAGTTGACATGTTTTAAATGTTCTTGAAATGAGTATTGACTTGAAAGATTGAAAAGGCATTCAAGACTTTAAATCTGCTATTGAGGAATCTTGTGCTCCATGTAACATGCATGTTTATCCCCCCCAGTACCTGATAGGTTGTACAGTGCTCTTAACTACAGTGGGACTAGGTACTCTTGTCACTACTGTGTGGGTATTCACAGAACGTGAAGCAGGGGTAGATTCACTTTAAAGAATTGCCAAGGAGGGAAAATTCACAGGGAGAGAGAAGAAAAAAGCATTAAGAAAAGCAATACATTAAGTGTTAACTACAGAAAAGACCAAAACCAGAACAAAACAAAACAGAAAAAAACCGAACAGCAATGATTTTTAATTACTGAGTTATCTGCTATGACCTTTGCAAAATAACTTCAAATACTTTGAAGAATTAAAAACTGAGAGGAGCAAACAGGTGATCTCGAAGTTACTCATTAAACAGAACATAATCTATTTTTTAGTAGATCGTTAGGTTAATGTCCATTCACCTTTGTTCAATTTTCCCCCAAAATTACTTTCCTTTTTTCAGGAAAATTTCATGATGTATGACCAGAGTGCAAGAAATGCATTTCCAAAAAGTACATTTGAGATTTCATAGTGTAAAAGGTTTTCCACAATACAAATACATTACATAAGAAATTGTGCAGATTTCCCTCAGTGCAAAATATCTTTTCCATTTCAGTTACAAACCAATGCTACGATTAATCCTGTTTACGTAATCTACAGGTCCATAAGCTTTCTGCCAAATTGCAGTTCATACAAGTTATGCTTTACTAGTTCCTCTGCTTCTAACAACGAATTTCAATACAGTTTTCCCAGTGGTTCTCAAGGAAGTTGGGCCTTAACAATAGGTTTTCCTTGCTACAAAGTTGTAACCACCACATACATGGAACTTACTCCCAGATTTAAAAGCAGGAACCAAAGTTGGAGCCAACACATATGTACAAAACTTACGTAGCTGCAATGACCACTTCCTCACTGGTAATTGGTTGTGTGTGCGATCTATCCTGCAAACGTCGCAGTCTTCTTTCTACTGCTGAACTTCTTGTAGGTGGCTTCGGAATATTTTTCATTTCAAATGATTTTTCCATTTCCTAAGAGGACACATGTCATAATTAAAAACATGGAAGAAAGGTTCTAAAACAGTACTTTCTTTTTAGATTTCTTGCATGCAAAGTAGTAAAATTCCCCAATGCCCATCTCTGAATTAGAAGCAGGATGTAATTGCACAGTAGGCGTCATGGAGTTAAAACTGACTACACATCTCTCTAAATGACATTCTTAAAGAATGCTTTAGAGCAATAGGTCTACTGTATAGGTAGGCAAGATGAAGTTAAAAAAAAAGTTATGTAGTTTGGACTTTGTTAAGTGCATTACACTTCATTCTAACCCCACTTCATTCTTGGGGTTCTTCAGCATCTTGTATATGATATGTGTAACTCAGCCTTCTATGAAGAAAATGTAATACTTACTCTAAAAAGCAGCCTCTTTGCAGCTACACTTAGTTTGGCTCGGTCATCTAATTTTTCTTCGTCTTCACAAAGGAAAAAAAAAAAGGAGGCTGAATGTAATGAATCAAGCTCATAATAATTACAAGGGGTTTTTTTGACTAAATGTTTTCTGAACTCCTCCAAAATTATGTTTTACTAAGAAAAGAAGCACCACCTGCAAATAAGCTGGCTGTTGCTCCATTTTAACAAAAGACTTATCATGAACCAAATTGTGTAAACGTTACTTATATTCACATTTATTGCATCAGAGGAAAATTCTTAACAGGTTTTGAGAACAAAAGACTTGTCTTCAGGACAGTTCATGTGCTTTCAAGTTATCAAAAAAAATTTTTATGAATAATCACACTTATTCTTTATTGGAAGACATGGACTAAGAAAATAATTAGACCGAAAAACTGTCTTGTATTCATCCTGCTGTATAGAACATCTGTTTTCTACTGGTTGACCATAGAAGATGATCTCTCCTGGAACCTGGTCATTCTGATTACTGCCTTGTGTCCCCATTTTTCAGAGGCTCAACTGGTATCCTTGGGAGCCAAAATCAGCATCCTCCAGATCCAAGAGCCAGCATCTCAATGGTGCAGAGGATATCAGCTTTCAAATAGTATAAGGCATTAAATCTAAATTTAGCTACTCATGAGATTACCTACTTAATTTGTGCCAGACTTGCTGAGAGCGACAAGGAGGAAAGAGAAACAAGATGGCAGACTGAATTCTATAATTTAATAATGAACATCTTGCAACTTCCTTAATTAGAAATCACATTACCAATATCAGTTTTACACTATAGTACAGTCTTTCTTTAGTTATTAGTCCTAGACCATCAATTAAAATGTGGGTTTTTTTCCCCAATCAACTAGCTTATTTATTAACTAAATCAGAAAAAAACCCAAACCTATGTTGAAAAGTGTCAAGCCATCCCCCCGCTTGCCTCCCATATGAAGTTCAGTATCCATAGACAGATTTTTGGATTTAAATTAATTTTTAAAAAGTGGTACTTCAAACATATTATAGGTAATGATAGTTATTTTCAAGTGGACTTTGTTTGCATTATCAAATAGTTCTTCAGTTAAAACAAAACACATTTTCTCCCATTTCTTCCTTAGGAAATAGCATAGCAACATACCTTCAGCAGTTGGTACTTGTGCACTCAGAATTGACCTAGTGAAAAGTTATCAAACAGAAAGAAGTTAGTTGGAAACAAGATATCAAAAATTAAATTCAAACTCCATCTGAAGTAGAAGGACCTCAAAAGTCTTAAGAGTTGGAAAACTTTAACTATTTTTCAAGTTTCAACAGTTTCCACTTTGACATCCTTTAATAAAGCAGAAAGGCAAGCAGTTGCAGCCAAACTTAAATACAGTAAAGAAAAATTATTTCCAGTTCATCTTGCAGAAGATAAAAGTCTAAGATTTGCTGCCAGGTCTTTTAACATAAAATATGTAGCTTTGGTTGTTTACAAAAAAAACCCTAAATGATAAAGCAGCGTAGATAGAAAGGAAACTCTTTATATAAAAAGACAAAAGCATTTATCACTAGACAGAACCAGACAGCCAGAACTTTATTATGACTCACTCATCACCATTGGGGGGTGGGGGATGGGGGGTGGGGCGGCATTTGCAACGAATTGTTTTTGTTGGCAGCATTTTAGTTTTTATTTTATAAGAAGCTATAACAAATATTTGATTGTTTTCAAAGAGCAACAACAACTTTGCAAAATGTTTATTCTAATAAATTAATGAAGTCTCTTTACAAGCTTGTTCACGTCTACCTGCATCAGAATGCTACCCAAAGCTAAGTACATGCCTACCTATCTGTCTCCTTTCGTTCTGCTGACGTTATAGGTTGAGTTTTAAATCTCTCAGAAGTCTTTCTATTTTCACCAGGAGAAAAATAGCGCCTTGGCCTTCGTGGCCCTCTTTCACGGTCACCATTGGCAGACAAAGTGCTACCTGCCGCTGACATCTCAAACCGAGATTCACTTTAAAACCACATGATAGAAAGTGCATAGAAAAGAAAAAAGAAGAGAGAAGTAAAGCATAGATGTAAGCATCTCAACAATTCACTAGAGATCACTCTGCATGCTCCTCTGGTAACATGCGCAGATGTACACATTCCAGCTACCCCACATCACAACTTGCACTAGCAAGCAGAAGCACAAAAGCAGGATTCAAACCATCTCAGCCTCCAGTACACACTGGTGAGAGCTAAGCTGTGTGCTTTAAGTGCCGAACACAACTGCTGTTGAGTGTGTGTAATTTTTGCCAAGGACGTGCAAATTTCACACGAAAATACGTCTGAAATGTCACCTACAGTTCCGTTTTCTTGTTGGCATTAGCAGTCTCCAGAAAGACATTACGGAGCTGGGCAACAGAGACTTTTGTGTCAACCATGCCAATCTCACCATTTGGTGCATTTGCTTCCACGTTCTCCTTACTTTTAAAAGCTTCTAGCTTAGGAGCCACAGTATAGTCAGACATTGAGCGAGTCAGGACTTTATGCTTTGCTGTTGACACTTTCCAAACAGGAGCTTTTGCCTCGGCAGGCTGCGATACAGACCCACTCTGTATGTACATAACAGCTTCACTCCTTTCTATGTTCTCAGGGGTCTTAAACTGCTGCTCAGGAGCCTGCCTCTTACTGCACTCCAGCTCTCTCTGAACTTCTGAGTTAACTTTCAGCTTGCTTGTGAAAGAGGAACTCCCCACAGGGGTATCCAATTCTCCTCCTCCAAAGAGGCCTTCGTGGTTCTTCCCTTGCTTGCGAATTTCAGATGGCAAAATTGGTCTTCTGCCTTTGGAAGCCTGTTCACCCTCCAAGGAATCTTCTTCATCAGGCTTTGCTCCATAACCAAGTGTCTCTTTCTTTTCACTCTCTGATGCAGTGGCTGCTGACGATTTTGTTAAGAGACTAACATTGTCTGGTACGAGGAGGCTGCCAACAGAGATGTTTGCTGGCTCTTCTGTTGCCATCAGCTGAGCTGTGTGCGCAATACCAGCAGGCTGAATATAGCCATGTATTGGTTGGCGAACTGAACTGACGGGCTGATTTATAACCCTATCAAAGGCAGATGTTTCTGTCTGAAGAGGCATGTAGTGGGCTGGCACTGGATGGGATTTTCTCTGAGATACTGTGTCTGTGACAAGTTCAGGGCTTCCACGAGCACTTTCCTCTTTCACCAGTTTCTCTCTAACTTTTACTCTTTAAGAAAGAAAAAGGATTAAAGCTGTGAAGAGCAATACCCAATCTGGGAAAGGCACACAGACACCTACTGGGAGTACAGACAGCAACATTGTATTAAAATAAAAAGCAATTAATACAGAAAAGTAAGCATTCTTATGATGCACCCTCCCTCATCCCCTCCCCAAATCTTAGCTGTAACATCTCTCAAAAACATTGAAGTGATTCACAGGCCCTCAAACATGCATGACTCCTGAGAAGGTAACTGAACAAGCTCTGAAAACATACAGCATGTTCCCATGAGGTCATAACTATGTTTGTCAAACAGCACATACCCATAGTCTCAAGCAAACAAGATGATCAAAAGTGCTTTTTATATTATCAAAGTGTTGGGTTCAGGCTGAAATTGCAAATTCCATTGGAAGTCATATACGTAGTCAGATTTTTGAAGGTTGTCTAAACACTGGGCAGCTTACATCATATCAAGATGCTGTTGCATTGGGGAAGGGATGAAAAAACACATTATCTCCACCTAGCCCTTGAGATGTTTTGCCAGATACTTTTATACTTGTTTTGTGTATCATATAAGACATCTAAAATGTTACGTGTAGTGTAATCTGTTTCAGTAAGTAAGAAAAAAAGCTGAAGTGCAAGCCTTAAAGCCCAAAGTGAAACTATGGCATGGCTGTTGCTCTTCAGAGGGCTTGCAAGGGAGAAAAGGATTTAAAAAAATCCCACAATCAAAACAAGCATTCTGTTTTAAAACTTTTCATTACATTCTAACATGCAAAACTTACAGAAATGTTCCCAGTTACCTTACTTCAGTGTGTTTTCTAGAAGACACCTCTAGACTTGTGTAACATCCATGCAAAACAGAGCTGTATTCTACCTTTAGACACTTAATGCAACTGCACTAATGGAAGGCAAGCACGTGCAGCCAGAGGCAGCCTTCGCTCTACGACTACAACTGCAGGTAAGCTATCCGGCAGTTTTACAGCCACAGTAAGTGTTCAGACAGCTTACAGAGTGAGCATTAAAAATATAAAATGTACATACAATAGTCTCATACACAGTTTTAAAAATGAAAGCCCTGTACTTCTTCCCCTCCCAAATAAGGAAGGAGAGAAACTCAAGTACAACAGAAGACTCGCTCTTTATTTGAAAGTACGTAATCCAGCTCAAAGTATGTGCAATTCCAGGCTTGCCAACAGACTTTTTGGAGTTTACATTATTTTAAAAAAGCAAGATGTAGAAAAAAAGGCAAATTAGTATCTGAGAGAATTATTCAGGATATCCAAAGTTATCTGAAACACCAACCTTTCTAATATTTTGGTGTTTCTTACCTCTGAGGATTGGTGCACTAATCAGGGAAACTTCTCAAAGTTACTTAAGCACAGAAAGTCTGTTCAGTCTGAAAAAGTGATTCTTTAAACTACATGTACCAAGCATTCTCCAGAACATCCACAGTGATGTTAGTACTGGGTTATAAGAATTACTTCAATCAGAAACATGGAAAAGAGTCTTCCTGCAATGTTTCTCATGGTGGGCTAACTCTATGTGCTACCAAACTGGGAAAAGCAGCTGCTTGTAGCTCTGATCAAGATCTTGGTTTACTTTCCAATATAAATTTTTTACTTCTTTTGTACCATCTCCTTTGGAATTCAAGGAATTAATTGTAGGGAATACTAATATGGAATGGTGTATGGTATAAAAATCTACTGATTTGCAGAATACAAAGTGGGATAAAATAAGAAGTTATAAAAATTAGTGGAAGCCAGAATGATAGTAGCTGTGGAAGAAGCTTGGGACATTTGTACTTCATCAATATACCAATTGGTTGTAAGTCACAATAAAAGCACATGCTTAAGAAAAGTTTCAATAGCTGTTTATCCGCAAGAAACAACACTTTCTAACTTGCTGCTGTTAAAGGAAAATTAAAAGCAAGTGTTAAATGAAGACAGAGTAAAGGGAAAGAAAGAGGAAGTTTGTAGTCTGATTGTTAGCCACACAGCTACGTTTTATGATACCTGGAGGGCCAGCTGATAAGTGAAGGTGTGTCCCCTTCCGAATCTTTCTGAAGAAACCATTCAGGTTTTGCTTTCCCTGCACTACTACAGAAAACAGAACTTCAGGTAATTTTTGAGATCTTAACACATGCTCCCGTTGTTTCTCCCAGTCTTCCCTCCCCATGGCTTTTTTTTTTCCCAATTACTCAATTACAGAGGACTGTTAATGAAAATAAAAGCACAGCACATTAATCAAATTGAAAGGTGATAACCTGTGAAACAAACGATCATATTAATTCCACAAACATCTAAACAGTGTTCTGAATGTTAAATATTCTGCAAAGGTAACTTTACCAAGTGTATGTCATCCAGAATTTGAGAAGTGAAAGCAATTACACAATCTTACTTATGCCATTTGCCATTGCAGGCTGGTTTGAAGGGTTATGTAAGGACACCTGGAAGAGTTGCTAAAACCATTCCTTTAATTTGTGTTTTAAAGTGGTAAAGACTGCTGGGTCCAAAACGAAATGGTAGTATGAGGTTTAATGAAGTTAGAAATTCAGATGGCTGTATCATACTTCCTAAGAAATTCTCAGGAGCACCTGGAACCCCTCTCTCCTCTTGTATAGCCCTGTATCACAAAAGCTTCAAAAATGCAAACCCAGTTAGATCAAGTGAAACATGCTGTGTCGCTGGATGACAGGGGAGAGGCCATGCTTAAAATACCAAACCCCCAATTTGATCTCGTCTTGACTTTATTGTGTTTCCATTTTAGAGTTGAAAGCATAAAAAGAAATAACAGCACTGCAAACTTTCAAAAGCCCTGCAGGAAAGGGTGTTTGCAGACTACCTAGTATAGTTTCTCAAATACTTTCCTAATGCCTACCTTCACCTATAGTCTCTCAGCAACAGTAATTACATCAAATACTTTTAACCTTGCAAGCACAGCCTGTCCAGCCACACTAACGTTTAGAAACTCCCCAGAGGACAAGCAGCCAGGCTGCTTTCCATTACTTATAGTTACACCTGAATGAACTCCTCACACTGCGGTAGAGCTATTTGGGATGAAAATCCCCTATTAAGCTCCAGGTCACTTACGTCAATTTTTCTTAGCTGGTCTTTTAATAAAAATAGTTGAAAAAGGTCAAATCAACAACTGTTCTTAAGATAAGAGTGCATTTACTGCAAATAAATTTAAATTTGAGAACTCACCTACAGTGGTCACCTTATCCAAATCAAGCTTAGAACAAAGTCAAACAACTGTTAAAACACCTTTTGTTTTTCCAAATGTTTTTGAATTCCTAAAAGAACTGACCAAATAGCAGCTAAAAACTTTTCACAGGAGCTGACCCAGTAGCTGGCATTGCTTTGAAGCAAGCAAACTTCCTTCTCGTCTCCTAATGTGTACTTTGGCACATTTTTATAGTGGGCATGGCCCAAGCAGCAATTATTTGTACTTGATCATTCATCCTTTGAAAAGAGCAGTCAGAAGAATGCAAGCCAAGTTTTGAATTTAGAGTTAATCAGCCACTTCAGCAGCCAAATGCAGACAATGTCAAATGATACCTTCTCAGCACTTTGTTGTCTTCTTAGTGATGGACAATAGGATTAATTGTTAAATCTTCTTAGGACTGAAGGCACAAAGCTTTCATATGTATTCTGAAGCAAGCTGCATTTATTTTCCAATTTCAACATAGCAAATTTAACAAAAACAATTTTGCAACCTATATGTGTATATATATGTGGAATTGACTTCAAAATCACTGACCCAGCTTTCCACCTGGAAAGCTGGCATGAGCCCTTATTTTGCTTGTGCAAATGGCCTTATAGGAGACTACCACATAGTAACTTTACAGACTGCATGGAAATAGGCAATGACTTCTCTACCACTCAAAAACAGGGACAAGAGTTTATGAGAGGTTATTCTTAAATCTCTGAATATCACACTGAGTACACACTGGCACTGGAAGAACAGGCTTTTGGCAACCTGGCCTTTAAAATACCACCTACTGCCTAGACATCTATCCAAACAAGAGATCAAGTCCTAAATTTAAACTCTTGGTTGCTGTAAGAACTACACCACATCTTGGTGGGTGCAGATGATTTCCTTCAAAAGACGAGACACACAGTGACAAACCTGTTTTCCACAAATACAGACTCAAGCCTCATTCAGAAGGAGTCTGAAATTAGTGATAATGCAGTCAGCAATTTATATTAAGTTATGACTTATTCCTTCTGCTTTTGCCCCAGTGTCCCATTTGTCCATATGGCACTACTGCAAAGCAGAGAAATAAAAACGACCATACCATAGATGGGAAGGAGTTTAAACTCGAACTGTCCCAACATCAGAACCCACCTGAAAATGGATCTTACCATTTCATTATGTAGAAATGGAGAACAACTAAGTCTCAAAAAAAGGAAGACCTTACAGAAGGGACCTGTCTCCAGTGCCTGCCAAACACAGCTGATCCCTTAGTGTTTCACACAGCATTAGATTATGTAGGGACGTGTAACTTAACAAATGAAAAAGTATGCCCCCCATTAAAACCACTGCTTCCTTAATTATTTCTCTTCTGCCCAACTTTTGCAGCATCTTTTATTATAAAAAAAAAGGTAATGCCAGAAGTGGCAGCTCAAAAAAGAAACAGCTGAACTTTGTCAATGATTTGATAATGCCTTCAGCCTGCTCAGTCTGAACTTGTAACTGGTTGTAAACTGCATTAGAAAAAACACACTTGTTAGTTAAAGATCAAAGAGCTTTATAAGGAGACCTGATTTCTCCACATTAAAGGCTAATCTGTGAATGAGTAGATTCAGGTGTGTCTCTATAGCCAGCATGCTGTTTCACCAGGGCAACTGCCATCCCCCCAAGTGCTGCGTGCAGTGCAGCTTCTTACAAGTTGGAAGAGATAACCTTGAAGGCATTTCATTGTTCAGTGTTTCATTGGTTTTCCCCTCACAGAAACAGAGACTAGGACTGCTTTATGAAAGTAAAGAAAATAAACCCCCTTTTTACATTGCAGCAGACACATTCTTGGCTATAAAGTTTGATGGGCTAGTCTCTTTGCTTTCCTAAGGCTGAAAACTTTGTCCCTTCCTTCACCTTATAAAACAAAGAAAACAACCTGCCAAAGGTTCATTGCTCCAATATCCCTTCCAATCAGTAATTGGATTAGTCAAGAGATTTATCTCAAATTAACCATTTGAAGATAAGGGATAATATTTTGTAGTATTTGAGTTGAGCCTGCTTTGGAGACAAGTTTTTTGGAGCCTGGAATAACCTAGTCAGCTCAAGGAGTTTGAGTGCAACTCTGCTCTCAGTTGTATGGATGACTTGGCGGTGACTATTTCTCTACTGTAGTAGCAGAATTGTAACCTTAAAACATAAACTAAATACAAAATAGTACTTCCTAAGTATGTCGACTTACTTTCCCTCTGATGGCTTTTTTGAAATGACAATATTCCTTTAAAATTTTGGCTTATTGGGAGAGTCCAATGATAGCTCATACAGCCACGTTATCCATGCAAAAGAAGGTGAGCAGGATTAGAAGTCACCTGAATAATGAAAAGCTATGAAAAAAATATTAAGAGACTACTACTGGTGTGTCCTCTGCAATAAAGTGAAAGCAAGAAGAAGGCTAAGTACATTTGAGCAGTTTATAGGCACTGTAAGTACATGGCTTAATCAATCTACCAGGTGGTTAAACTTTGACATAGAAGATTGCTTCCTCATTCAAACTTTAAAGTATGCTTATGAGAGTTAATAAGAAAGGCCACAACAAATAAGAATCAAGTTTGTGATTTTGATGGGAAGGATAAGAAGTCCGGTCAAGGTAGCTTGGAACCTACTGCAAAAAATGCCAAAAAGTATAAACAGTTCAGTTTATGCCAGTTCAGTTTTTTTGAAACAGTCAGCACTGCTCAGAATGATGCAGATGTGTTTACAATTAAGTTGTCATTACAATTTACATCATTTTTAGCTGCAACATTTTAAGTCAGGTTTTTACAGTTATTCTTTTCTATCTATCCACTACCTAGAAATTAAAGAATCACACTTAGAGAAAAATCATACTTTTAAAGAATTCTTAGTCACATGTTCTTTTCAGTTACCATAACACTTTGACAGTCTGTGTTTGCACTACAGGGTGAAATTACAGTGTGAAATTAGTGAAAACTCCCCCACCCCTCTTCTGGAAGAATCTGGATACCCTGTTACTGGAGTAAATTTGTCAAATCTGAAGTTATTCAGCATACCATCAGGGAGCCTATGTTTTCCCAATTCAGCATGGAATTTTAACTCTCTCCTCTGCCCCTTCACACACATACCCTGATATTATCTGAAAGATTAACTATCACAGTTCAAAAGGGTTTTTACACTTTCACAGTCAGAAAACAAACCAGCTGTTATTTCAACTGACCCAAGAAACTTTTCAGCTTTTAAGTCCGAGACCTGTTTTACCTTGGCGGAAGCCATCATGAAGCTATTCAAATCTTCACTAAGAAACAGCTTGCCTTTACTTGGAAACCGCTCCCCCCCCCCAAACAATTACAGGATATAGAGGAAAAAAAGTTAAAGGCTTGCTCTAACAGTTTATGAAAAAAAGAAAGCATCAGATTTAGAACCAGAACTGCTTCAATTTCTAGTCTGTGTAAATATCTTAAACATCCCACTCCCCTCCCCTCAACAGGGCCTAATTTTAGCATAAATCCTATAAATATAAAGTGAAACCAAGGTCATACCTAATCATAAAAATAGATACCCACTTCCTTGTATCAGAAACACACTGAGTGTTTCTCACAAACAAATAAAAATCATGCTTACCTTTGTCTGATGTTACTGTGCAAGGGCTGGTCATTCTGCAAATGGATTGGTGAGGCTGCCCGCTTTGGTGAAGAACGGGACTCTCTCGGGGTTTGCTTTGGTGATATTGGCACTTCATTACAGGAGGAAGATTCTCGTCCAGAAAGTGAAAGGGAGACAGAACTATCCAAGGTTGCTGAAGGGTCAGAAGCCTGTCTAATGGCACTGTCATCTGTTTTTCTATCACTCTTTTCATTTGAGAGGTCTTCTTTACCTGGAACACCATCTTTTTCATGGCTGGAGTAATCTCTGGATTCAGAAATTAGACTCTTCGACTCTTTTGTCTCAGTCCTGGACAAATACAGGGAGCCACAGTCCTTGTTTTCATCATCTTGCCTTTCACTTTTCACTCCCTTTCTTTCCACGCTGTCGGGATCTTTCCTTGCCCGTGTATATCTGGATGAGTAGTCAGAATCCAAATCAGAATCAAGAGATAATCCGTATTTTTCTGCCAGCTGGCGCCGCCTCTCTGCCTTGTACCTAGCTATTCTTTCTGCTTTTGACTCTAGTTCCTGAACATCCATGTTTCCTGTACTATACAAGGGCTCTGTATTACCTCCTGTGATTTCTGCTCTGTATCTGGATGATCTGGGTTGTTTTTCTACGGAAGAATCTGAAGTTTCTTCCTCTTCATTTGATCTTCCTGTCAAACGTACAACATATATGAGCAAGTCCATCCCAAAATTCTGAGTATGCTACCCACCATTTACAAGTGAACTAAAAGCTTCCCATTTTCTTACAAATCAAAGTGTACTAGTGACTGCACAGACACATTACACTTATGTCTCCAAAAGCACTTACAAAGGATTAAGAACTGTGTACTAGTTATAATTCTTGAAGAGTCTCATATCAAATTATTGTTGTTTTAAAACAATATGGATAATCAACCTTTTTCAAGTAAGAAAACCAGAGAATTAAAAGGCAGGTTAAAAAGAACCCTGACCACAGCTCTTCTATAAAACTCCTCTCCATGTACTGCACAAACGATAGGGTAGTAAACACGAAGTAATTCAGCAATGTAAGACTCACTGATATATACTACTTACCTAAGTGGGGACTGTATGGATCGGTTGCACGCATGTATCTTGGTGTATCTTCCTCTAGTAAACGATGTGTGACGGATCCTGGACAGTTTTGTAGAAGCATAGGTTGTGCGTCATTTTCAATTCCCTCTAAGCGTCTAGCTATTCTCTCTTTTCTGAAAAAGATGTGAAAAGTGTGTAACCAGACATTTGAGGGGGAAGTTTCTAAGAGGAGGTAACAAAACAAGCTGTGTGTTTTGTTTTACAGGCCAAAGACTATTTTTTTTACCTTTTCATTTCCAAAAAATCTTGGTTGTTTGGTTCAAACAGTTTTCTTAATTCTGAAACTGAGACAACAAAAAATTATACAGTTTGTAAGCTACTAAGTTTCAGAAACTCATAGAAACTAGCTAAAATGCTTTAGAATGAGAAGGAACAGTCAAAGTTAAGAGGTTTGAAATAGCTTTTATCAGGGAACAAGCATTTTCCTCTTGTTTTCCTAGTTTATTAAGCTTCTGTGGTTAGAAGTGCAGTAGGCACATAGGTGTAAACAGTAAGAAGTCCTCCCCTCCAAGTACTCCATGCTAAGCTAGAATCTGCTATGCCATCCTAGCAGTTTTCAAGATCTAGTATAAAGTGGCCAAGTTGTATTTTGATTAGCTGAGGTCAAGCTTACATGCTATAGTAAACCATTTCAAAATCAGGTAGTATGGAATTACTGCTTACCCTGTCTACACAAAGGTTGAGGACTGACTATGTTTAAAGAGAAACCATGTCCCCTATTCCTTACTCTCCTCTACTCCCTTATATTGCGCAAATCCCAAGAATCCCAGTCACTCATGGTTGGAGTGAAAACTACCGTGTACCCTCATGATATTCCTGCATGGTTAATTACTTTGTTGATTTTCTCTTGTAGTTTCAATTGGACATACTTTCCTTCTCTCCCCCTAAACTCTTTGGTGGTGTTACGTGCTAGTAGACAGCTGTGACAGTTCACAAAATAGTACTGAACCAACAGGAGGCATGATAGATGAAGTAATCCCTATATATATATATATACACACACACATATGTGCACAGTTACCAGTGATGTTTGCAAACCACACTGGAGCAGTGAATGCTACATAAACAAGTGTGGTGTGACTTCTTACCACCAGGAAGAGAAACAATCCAAGCTGTCAAATGATGCAGTGGACTGGGGCGGCGAGAGGAGGGTGCCTAACAAGCCCTCTCCCCGCACATCCCATATCATTGCCTTGGCAAAGATGTGGTACCAAAACCTGTGTGTGCTTAGTTTGATGCAACGTACCTCTAGGGTTCTGATCCTGTTGACCCAGGGATCAAAAGTTAAAGCAAGCTTAAGTGTACAACCTGCTAAATCAGCCCTAGATTGCCACCACAAACACCTGAATGAGTCAGGATTGTCTAGCCTGAATGTGTAGTAGATGCTCTTCCACACCACTGCAGAAGTAAACCTATCAGCCTTTTTCCCTACCAGACTTCATCGCTCTAGATACGTAGAAGATAAACATTATTGAAACATCACCTTTTGAAGATAACATGCACCTTCTCTCCCTTTCCTCTACTGCAAGAACTCACATGCGTAGCTAGGTCAGGGTTTCAGTTTAGCTGACACATATCCAGGAAGTCTGCTGTAGTCAATACCAGTGCTCATGCCTCATAAATACAGATAGATACTATTGACATTGGCTGTCATATCAACCTTACATGCTGAAAAGCCACTGGGACTCAGGTAAAATGTCCTGGATCAGCAAGAATTAATACATTGTGATCATGGCTACTCAGAGAAGCAGATGAACGAGGTATGAATATAGCGTCTAAGGCTACAGATGAGTGCCTACTGAGAATGCAATTAACAGGGGCAAGAAATCAACTGGGCCACTCTCCAAAACAACTCCTTTAGTCTACATTTTTACAGAAAGGAGATTCAAGCTATCTGCTTCAATTTCTCAAGCCAGGTTAGCTCAGATTGTGATCATGCCATAAGAAAAATCTTATACATACACATTTGATGCAACTAGGAGTGCAGAGTAGCTACTTAACAGTGCTAACCCCAAGGAACACCTCTTCCTTGTTCACACCTTGATGCCTAGTTCCAGCATCTTGCAGCAAAGCAGATTGAAGCCTACACTGCTGACCAGGTTGACAGTGCAAGAGAGCCACTGAAAGTCAGCAAGCTCCAGGCACAGATCTCTGGAGACGGATGGGAACTGGACTTGGCCAATGCAAAATTTGCATCCTGAACCACCACCAAAGCAAAGATAAGCCCTTATGTTGTGTTTTCATTGACTTTTCTCTCAATGCATGAGCAGTTCCTGCTGCTGCCTTGTCTACTCAAGCTGTGCTAGCATGGAACTGTATTAAAACAGAGAACTTATCCATATGAAACCAGCCTTCATCTCACATTCACACCAAAGGAAACGATTTCTCAGAAATACTTTGCTCTCACCTCTGCAAAATCTACTTCTGTTTAAGTTTGTTCCTCTGTCTATTAAGAGTTTTTCTACTCCATCTGCTGGCTATACATACATAAAATGGTCGAAACAAAACCCATAATTGTTCTGCCACTTCAGACAGGTCAAAGGCCTTCACAGCTCACAGTTAATAAAACCACATTCCATCCAAATCCTGATCATTTTTCTTCCCTAGTCACCGATTTATACAGTCCCTAAAACCATCATCAGAGAGCAGGTCTTTTACACAGTTTTAATAAAGCTGTAAAGCATAGCTTCATATACTAAAGTCTTCTCCTCCCACCCACCCCAAAAGGAAATTTGACTATAAGTTGTCTGCATACAAGAAATGTGGAACATCCAAAGAAATCCCAGCAGCATTAGCTCAACATGCTCTCACTACATGCTAGCTGAAGTTCCAGAGATTCTACTACCGCTTTGCAGTCCTAAAAAGAGCACTGGCTTCATGAAGCATCTCTCCAACACCTTCCCAAACAAGATGGGACAAAAATAGCATGGGACTACTCTATACTGCCTTACACTTTTTCCACACTTGAGATTCCAGACAGTAATTTCAGCTACGTTGGCCAACATCTGCAGAGCTTTTTTATGAAAGCAGTTTAAGCAATATTCTTCTTCTGAGGAGGTAGGGAAAAGAAGCACAAAAAAGCAAAAAAAACCCCACCAAAAAACAAGAGATAAAATGCAGGAAGTCTTCCACTCTAGTGATTTCTTTTTGCTGAATAAAATACTTCAAAACATGAAAGCCAGTTGGAGAAATTTCACTCCCAAGGACATTGGTTAGCCCTTGCAAGCTTAGGTGATCTGGTTTCTCTTTTTTAATTTGCAATTTCAATATGTTGGTGCCAATTTCCCATCTGTTCATGGGATGTTTTTCCACATGACCATCAGAAACTACACCATTTCAAAGACACCCATTACAGCATTAAAGAATAACAACACTTCTACCTAAAAGGTAGCACAAAGATCTGATTTGGCACACAAGAAAAGACTAAGAAGCTTAAAATAATTAATTTCACAGTAAAAGCTTATCTAAGTTACTTCATGCCAACATACTTTCTAAGCACTATTGGTCAGTATAGTTAAGGGCAACAGGAAGAACAGCCACAGTCCCAGAACAGCCCTGAACTTCAGGCTTTATTTTAGGATGTTGAGCAGGGTGCTATAGTAGGATACCCTCTAAAGTAGACTGTCAAGAGGCATCTTAATTTTGGTAACTGTAGACCTTCTGAGCAGAATTTACCTTCTAATACCGGTAAAGCAGTATTGTTCCATGTCTCGTCCCAGAATAAAAAAACCAAAAAGTACATTTGGAGTGCACCTCATAAAACTGTTTAAAAAACTCCTTGAATTAAGGTGAAAGATTTCTTACAGAATTTGGAAATCTTTCAGAAACATTTGTTATAGAATATAAATATGTTTTTGCTGTAAGTCCTCTTTGACAGCAGCAGAGAGGATACATGTGGATAAAGTTGGAGGCATGTGACAACAGTTTTATTTTTAAAATACAGAAGCTGTAAAAACTAAATCAAGCCTTCCAAAAGTCCCTAGTAGAGAGTGAGCACATGTATTTGTAAAGCCTGAATAGACATAGATCAAAAGTTTACCTGCCAGAGGCTTAATTTCTCAGAGATGTAAGTAACCATTGCAACACAGGTGATACACATTTTTCATTTTGAGGAAAATTTAACACAACAGTGAAGCCTACCAGCCTCATTCCTATCCCTTCCTCTCCTCACCTGGAAAGATGTTGGTCTACAAACCAGGTTGGAGAAACATTTATCTTTCGTTTATGCTAGCAGATGCATACTAACATGTTCAGTGCTTAACTGCAGGTAGCAATGTGCAAGACCAGCCAGACTCTTCTGAATCTCAATTCAGTCCATATCAGTTGAAAATTAAATATATTCCTCCAATTTTCCAATAAGTGCAAATCTGGATCAAAGTTAGGCTCTAGATGGGACAAATAATCTGGATTTTGAGAAAGTGTTTGGCCTCAAGTAGTCCCCTCAGGATGTAACCATCACTCCGACTGCTAACATTTTCTTAAGTCTGGTACATGCCAAATCTGATGACTTTATTACAAGAATAACTTCTTAGGAAATAGACACATCTTAGAAATTAATTCACTGAGAAGCAACTTACAGAGAAGGTTTCTCAAGTAAAGGCTCTCACAATTAACTTGTTGGCCAGCATAATTGCAAGGCTAAGTATATGGAATAATGAGGGACTACGTGTTCTTACTGACTAGTGCTCTCAGGAAGTCTGTATTGTATAAATGCATATCACTCTATTCCATCATTGTGTCAATGAAGTCTCTTTCTGAACATCTATAATGATTATATTATAAAAGCAAGCACATCACTTAAATATCACTTAAATGTTACACTGAAAAAAAGGCTCCTTTCTAAGGGAACTCTGCAACAAATGACATTGTAAGAGCAAGCCAGTTCCTTTATGTTGGAATTAGTGCATCTAGCCTTGTAGTTTCTCTGAAAAGGGTAAAATACCATCAGAACACACATACAATTTCAATTGAAGTTCTGAGATCCACAACATCCCTGAATGAAGGGAACATGTTTATGCCAGTTACACAGAGTTCTTCAGTCAAATGTCACCCTTTACTGGTCAAGAACTATTTCCAAGCAGATTGTGATTTCCTCTAAATAATTCAAGAGAATTAATTCTCACCTCTACATCAACTGTGTCAAAAGATAAAGATGGAACTGCTGTTTTCTTCATAAGTTATTCAGACTAAGACAGAAGTTTAAAAAAAACAAACAAAACCATAAACCACCCCAAACCGATATGTAGTGCAGGTCTTTCAGCACGGAAGACTAAAATTCAGTGTGTAGTCAGTTGGCCGTGCAAGCACAGTGATTCTACCAAACCACTGAAGGGGACTGGAAAGAGCTATGACCACAAACCATGTCAATACCTCTGAATTCAGTATTAATCTAACTGTACAAAGAAACCTCTCTGAAATTTTGAATTTCAACTACTTCTTAACCAATTGGAAACCAGGTAAACAAAGCTGAACTTTATGAAGCAGGGATGTAACAAGGCCTTGAAAAAGAGCATTGCAGTTCATCCCATTTCATCCCCTACGCATACTTCACAGAGAAAAGAAACCTCATTTACAAAACATCTGTGCTTAAGTGATTTTAACTGTGCCTTGTACTTGCATAGACTAAACTTCACATGCTGTTAAATTACCACTTGTGTTCATAATGTGTCTCCCTTACCTACCTTTTGGAAGTACTGCTAAGAGATTAGCATCAATATCCTTTGTGCTGTTTGCAAGTTCTTCTTTATCTTCAAATGAGAACTCCTTCTGAAAACTGAAAGCAACATCTGGTTTACAGAACTGTGGATGTTTCTGTTACAAATCAAATAAAGCTAAAATGTAACCAATTTACTGCAAGATAGTCTAACAGAGATACCAAAGAAAATATTTTCCATAAGAATAAGAAATAACCCCAAGAAACTCACAAAGCCAAACCTAACATAATTTGAAACTTGTTTGGAACTGACTGTGACACATTTTTGCATTAAATTACTGACTGGAGACTGCCTTCAAAATGCTCTACTAGCAATTACATTTCAAATAATCTATATCAAATGATTCTCCATAAATATTAAAACGTATTTCATCAAATGCAGTACTGTATGTACACTCCACCTCGAAGCCTTCTGCATGACTGCCCTATTGTTACTGTACTGATCTCTGGATCTTATCTGGCTTATTATACACCAATATGAGCAGCAGATCATTTGGTTTTATACTTTGTCTTTTCAAAACAGCAAAAATGCTCACTTAGATGAAACAAAATACTTTAATTATGTTCATTAAGCACACAAATTCTAATTGTAAAATGTAGGTGTCATAATAGTCTGAAGTAGATATCAACTGTCTACAGAGACTTTTTTGGAGGAAGTGTTCCTCCTTGTGGGTAAACAAAGTGAGATTTTTCTCTCCAAGTATTAAAAATAGAGATGGAACTGCTGTATTCTGCCATTATGGCTTCTAAACTATCCCAGATGGGCATAAGAAAACTTATACTAGTCTTAAAAACTTTAGTAAACTGTGTAGACAGGTGTAACAGATACAAACCCCCAGAGTGATCCTAGGCTTTTAATTTTTCCACAGTAGTGACATGCCATAGAACTTACTCTCATTCTGATAAGACAATCTGCACGGCCTTACTGTTGGAAAATCCTTCCTTAGGACAGTTTTTAAATGGCTTTTTAAATAACTGAATATCCTTTCATCAAGGGTATTTGGTTAGAAGAAAAAAAATAGTAAAAATAAAGAAATAATTCTGTAGTCACTATTCTAGAAGAACATTTCTCATGAAAAAGAGTTTTAACATATAATGACTAATAACATCTTACATGAACTCCAAGAAGTTATTTGCTTCTTTATCGTTTCTAAGTAATAGACCTTTTTAAGACATTGAGGAGAGAATAAAACCCTTGAAATGACAATAAAGAAACTGGGCTGTGTCATATTCAGGCACCATGCCACCTGCTGCAAATTGTCTGCAACAACTGCACTTACAGAAATTATTCTGGGTACTGCCAAGAAAAGCAATATTAGCCACTACAGAAAATAGCAAATAGAAGATGAAGAGCTGCAATAAGCTGTCCGTTACAGAAAACTATGTACCCTTACAGGGTGGAAACACTTTAATGGAACTAAACAAAAACCAAAATAAAATAACAAAATAGCACACAGCAGCCACAAGCAAATGAGTGTGTGTGTCATCTGAGACTGGGCAGAGACTCAGGCAGTTAACCACATGTTTCTATATGCCTAACCCCACATTGCCAACACTCAGGATTCTTATTAGCCTCACAAGATGTTATTTTCTTACAGACAGCTTCTGGAGAACCCCTAGGTGGAAAGATTCCCAGTTTCCATTTGAAAGCAGTTTCTACTCCTTTTGGCTGAGGATGAGTTTGAAAAATGTGAATAATATTGCCCTAAGGCTATAAATCAAAACCAAAGTTTATTTTTTCAAATCGATTTGATTGCTTAAGACTTGTCTCAAAAGTGCTGAGGGGTTCAGCTCATGACTTTTGAATACCTGGGCTTTATTTAGCAGCCTCTCCAATTGCTTCCATAATGCCTCTGACAGTGCAGCACCTTAAGTTTCTATAAACATGGGACTCTGTACAGAAAAGCATTCACTCATACAGCAAAATCCTTGTTTAAATTAACTATGCCTCAGTCTCACACGAATTTCTAAGGGTAAAATCATACAGAACCAGGACTGGCAGTAGCCCATTGGTTCTAAAAAGAACTGTATTATTGGATTACTTGTGGATCCTCAACAAACTTTTAAATACTGTAAACTAGTTAGGTTCACTCCTGTCCCTTCCTCCAAACTCCAGGAAGTTCCAGGGACTCTGAAGACCCTCTAAACCCAGACTACATGTCTTTCACTGGATTTCCATCCATTTATTTTTGTGCCAGTGTTGTTGGTTACCTTACTTATTTTTCTTAACAGAAGATTTCCACATCTCCTCAGCTTCCTCAAGGCAGGCGCTCAGTTCCATTGATTAGCTGTAAAAATGTTCTCTACCTATTCCAATTTTAAGTCATCATTTTTGTACGTGGTGACCACAATTGGACAGTCTTTATTCCAGACCTGGGTCTTAGCAGTGACTTGTAAAAAGAGGAATTTAAATAGAGAAAGCATTATTACATGACTAGCCAGATGAATGCTGGGATCTACAACACATTTACCTTTTATATCTACACTGTATTGGTTGCTCAATCCTGCAGGAGAAACTAATACGCCAAGGCTTTGCCTTCATCAGGTGTAAGTGACAGAAAAATTTATCAGCCCCCAATGTACAACTGTGCACTTAGTATTATTACATTACATCCCTTTTCTATTACTTCTCAAGGTCATCCAGTTCTTCCCGTATTTGAGCTCCCTCCTCCTCTAGTACTGAGAGTGTCTTCCAACCTTTGCTCACTGGCAGATTTCATTAAAATTCTTTTAATAACCACAAACTTCTTAACCCTCACTGGGCTCCATAGCATCCCAGGTTATCTGCTTTATGAAAGTCCCTTCACGGTTTCCCTTATGCCATCATTTTCCATTTCCCTCTGGAAAAGACTGTCAGCTTTTATTCACTTGTTTATTTTTAAATGATTGACTATTTTCATATACTATTTTATCCACAATGGAGAAGTTTTTCCTCTTCAGAGGCACTTTTGCTCTCTCTTGCAAAGCTGCAGGTGGCATTGCTTGCTTTAAATATTCGCACATTAGAAATACAAAATGTTTTAAACCAATGTAGCAATTACATTGCTTTCACTTGCACAGAGAATTCAGAGACAGAGCACTGCTCTGAAGATGATACAGTCAATTCGAGTAATTGTGTATTTATAGATACATATATATAAAATTAGTTCTAAAAATGAAAGTAGGCATATTTAGAACATGTCACAGTATTCAGTAAGAACATTCATTAGGAATCTAAATTGAGTGAGAATGATGTTAAAGCAATTCCAAATAGTTAAAAAAAAAATTTTAAAATTAAAGATTACAGGACACGGCTCACAAGGGTTTTAAAGAAATATGCTCATAAGTAACTCCTCACCAAGACTACCCTTTTTCCTCAAAAGGGATCTATCCAGATCCCTGCTTTATTAGCTTCTCTGCTAAAGGAGCAGTTGCGGCATCGATTTAGTTGCTTAAGCAGAGTCAGCCAGCCAGACTTGGATTGCCAAGTATACTGTACCTTCAAACTCATCCACAATCCTGTTCTAGAAGTATCACAACTACATCTACTCACTTCTGGGTTTTTTTAATTTCTCAAGTCATGCTATAGATTTATGTGCAGATTCCAAGCAGCAGCACCAGTAGTTTCTGCACTTAACAGCTAGACTATGCACATTCATTATTAAAATAATTTAAGGCATACTTGTGTTTCTTGAAACTAAAGAAAAGAATTTAGAAGTTTGCAAGAATTCTTTCTTCTTAAGTCCCTGTTAACTCTGGATACTGAGAAAGGAACTTCTCCTTTGCTTGTCTGAAATACAGGCTGTGATCATGGTTCATGAAATGCAATCAACAGCATGAGGTCCCACAAGTTTGTTTTGCACAGTATTTGTGTGTGGTTTGGCCTCAGGTTCCCAACAAACTCATTATACTCTCCAGTGTTCAGAAATTCATATGATTCCTATTAAAACACAGGCAACAATATTTCACAACCTCAATGGGTTTTCTTTAAAAATAATGTATAATGTGGCATTAGTAGAGTATTTGACAGTCTCAGTAGTTATACTCTCTCGCAACTTCCAAAGTAAGTGTGGGCTGCTTCTATACATCAGGGATTCCAGGCTGAAAACTTCATCTGCTGCTGCAGCAGCAGCAGCACACAGTTTCTAAATAGCTGTCCCACTAACCTAGTTACATGCCCAAAAGCAAGCAGAAGTTTGATCCAAATGCCCCAGGTAACACTGCTCTGCCATCTGGATTAAAGCTATGGGATATACTGAGATTTTGTGATTGAAACACATGCATAAAAATCCACTTGTATACCTGCCAGCTAGGTGCTTGGCGTTCATTTTTCTTCTCTTTACGCTCCAGGAGAATTTCCTTCCCTGGACTCTTACATAAAGGGTCCATTTTACAGTCACATGCTTCTTTACTACTCTCATTTCTACTGTACCCTACCTGCCTTCCATAACACAATGTGTCTTGCACACCTATTCCCTCTACCTCTCTACAGTACCTAAGAAACAACAAGGCAGGGAATCAGGTGTGCTCCAGAAGGTGTGCACTGACTGAAAAGATGCTTGCAAACGTGAGCCTGGGTGCCTAAGGCTGGTGGATTCCTGTGCAGCTGGTTGCTGGGGCAAGAGTCAGCTCCCTGACCTCCTCTCTGTGCCATTATGAATGAGTCCAGCAAGAACAAATGTGGACACCAAAAAGCAGTCCGAGTGAGGATGGGAAGAGAGAGGGAAGTGACGTGTCACCTTGTTTAATTGTATACTGTATCTGCTTACTTATCCTTGTGGAACCAGGCCCTAAGATTGGAGGCAGAAGGCAGCATGGCCCTGCAAGCAGCAACGTCATCTCTCCAGTGTCCCCCTCCCATGTGCTGACAAAGCTCTCTGCATGGCTGTATAATTAATTTACCCACTTCAGCCACCTTCTTCTTCAGACAGATCAGTTTTCCAAGGTGGTTTACTAAATGCCTGTACTGTGTCCGTGCCATGTAAGGAATAATGGGCACTGCAGTGGCAGGAGGCTCAGTGCAGAGTGGGACTCTTCCCTTAGCAATGTCAGCTATACATTTCCACATTACTTAGGAGGCAGTTGGCATTTTCAATACGTGCTCAGAGCATCCACTTTATAGTCATGTGAGAGCACCAATAATCATTTCCCCTCACAAAACCAAACATAGATACAAGCAATGACTGCAAATTACAATCATGCCACCAGTCATCTTCACTGGGCAAGAAAAACTTGACCTTACCTTAACGCTCTCTTCCTTTGGAGTAATCGTGAAGGTTTAAATCTGACTGAGTTTTGTTTGTCAAAATCTGTGAAATGAAAAAAAAAAAAAAATAACCACACCGTATTGAAGATGCTTTAATAAACGGGGAACTTTTAGGAAACTAGGTTATGGTCTCCAATCACAGTCCTTTTCCAGACTGTACAAAGACTGTACAAAGGCCTTCCCTCTAGTCAAAGGAGCATAAGCTGGCATGCCCAAGATGGTGATAAACCAAAGCCTTGCAAAACATGTGTACAGACAGTAAATAAGCATCAACACTTTATGGAACTGACATGTTCTAATTCCAGTATTCATGTTGTAGCACTGCAGTCTGGGGCTATCATTTAAACTCCTTGACTCAGTTTCCCAGCTTATAAAATGGGCAGTACACATGTTTATGAAGCACTCTGCAAATGAGAAATGCCGCAAGTAGCAAAAGCCTTATTGGCTACAGCCTAGCAATACCATAAAAACTGCATATTCACTGCGGAAGTCGGAGATGCCCAGCTAAGGATCTGTTGCAACAACAGTATTACACCATCCATGACAGAAATATTTCTGAAGGCTGTCTACTGTTTGGAAGCTCCCTTTTTTTCTGAATAGTCTTAGAACATGCTTACTTTCAGAGAGGAACATGTGTTTACAGTGAGAGCAAAGCTGTGTCAGATGCAGCCTACTATTCAAAAAGCATGTATTACAAAGCCACTAGTTCCCAAACCTTTGTGAACCATAACAAGCAATGGGCAATCTCCTCTCTCTCCCCCTAGATTTAACTTCTTCATTTCTGCAGTCAAGAGCATCATCAGGGGGTCTCAACAATGACCAGCAGCAAGGGGGACCAGTGCTCTAAGTATTGGATCCCTCCATTCAACAATCAGGATGCTCTTAAGAGACCTTGGAGAACTGCTAGCCAGGAAGCAGGGGAGCACCTGGTCTGTGACTGCTGTTGAAAAATATATGAACCTACTAATAATTTAATCCCAATAGGAAAACTGCTTTCTGTTCCCATCTTATTAAGCCAACTACCCCAAGACCCTAAATTAATAAACAGTTGGTCACTGACACAGTGTTCACTTTATTTTTCAAAGACAGACATGAATATTACATAACCTGCACTTCAGAACAACTAAAAAGCAGCAAAATCCCCTGTACTCCACCTCAGAACTGTGATTTAACTATTTCAAAGAAGAGTTAACTGGCAAAAAAAAAATTTTTGCTTATACAAAATATTTTAAAATCTAGGTAGGATGTTTCTTATTTTTGCAGACTGGGTTTACTGAAACTTATTAGAGCTGACAACATGGGTCTTAATTTAGAGAATGTATCTTTTGTCTATGTTTTTCAAAACTTTTCAGCCTCCTCCTCTCTTCTACTTCTTTCTGCCATCTGTCCAGGTAAACAGATAAAAAAAACAAACCCACAAAGATTTTAACAGTTTGAAAAAGAGGGTAAAAACATGCAAAAAGGCATTCTTTAGGCTACAAGTCACTGAAGATTTCAAGCAGCTTTGCTAATAGCATTCTTCAACTTTAATAGGCAACTTTCTTCTGTATTTGTTAACGTTAATTTTCTCTTTCCAAGTAAATGGAAAATAAAGCACACAGACTACACAGAAACATCTTGTTAGACCAAAACAGAGTATTATAAGAAAAACAGTATGAATGCTATAGAAATAATTTTATTTTACACTACAACATTAAAAAGAATACTCCATGCCGTAAGTATCCTCTAAAAAGGCCAGATTTACATTACTTGTGAGAAGAGTATGCAGTAACTTTAAAAGCCCAGCTCAGTATCAGCTTAGCTAATCAGAACCAGGCATATCTTAAATTTATAGCTGTTCTAAAGGGATATAACCCATCTTATAGTTTTTGGCACTAAAACAGCTGTCCACCATGAAAACCACAAGTAGACCACAGAGAAATTCTCCCTACCCTAGCCAAAACTGGAGAGGAGATATGAGAAGGGAAGAAAGTAGCTTTCATTGCTTCACTGGGAGAAGGAGGGAGAAAGGCTGCTAAGAGGGGGCACACAAGCTGGTCTGACGCTTGCTACCCATTAAACACATCAGTAACATTCATACATACCACATCTATAATGACTCAAAAACATCTTAAAATTTTGTCACATTTCACAGGGGAAAGCTGCTCTCTTCCCGCCCTCCCCCAAACACAGAAAATCCAACCAGACAATTACATTCTGTTACACAGTTTTGATATTTTATGTATTTCCTCCTGTTCAAATCAAACCCCATGTGGGAGGATTAAAGCCCAATAAAACTTACTTACGACAATATGGAAGTCTTAAAACTAAATACAAACACAGGAGAAAAAGTAAAACAACTCTGCTTCAAAAGAAAATAAAATATGCCCACAAAACAAACATCAGTTTAACACAGTCTTAATTCAATGGTTAATTTAAAGAAGAAAAACACGATCCTCACAGTACCTGGCACACAGAAGGAAAACCTTTGCAAGCGCATTTTGTTCCTTCTTTCACTGAAGAATTCTAAAGATGCTCATAACCACATTAAAACAATTTTAAATATTTGTATTTAAAATTAAGAGTCTATTTACTGAAGTGTAAATCAAACTTGCTCACAAGTTTAACCATTTGTTCAGTCTAGTCCTCCTCCCTCCTAGGTACAAACTCCTAGATAAAACCATTATCAATAGTTTAATACACAGGAAATTAAAAATGCTGAATTAAAAAAAAAAAGTAGATGCAACCTTCCAGTGTTACTTAGTATATTTAAAGGCCCTAAAGTCGGTGGCACACTAAGCTAATTAAAAGATCCATCTAATCGGATCTTTCAAAAGTGTCCTTTAGGAAATAACGAAATAGCCTGGGTGACTAACTGCATACTGATTGCTAAAGTAGCTAATGTAGCTGCAGAAGATCCAGACAAACAATATTTACACATGCATACATACATACAACAGAGATTATACACACACAAATGAACTGCATTTTCTTCTATCTACTTGGAACTCTTACCTTGCTCCTCAGAGTATTTAACATTTCCCAAATAGCTGGAGATCCAAGGATTTCTGAACATGGTTGCACAAACAAAGGATTCGGCAAAGAGAAAGTACAATAGCAGCTAATTCTCAACCAGCCACAGCCCTAGGCCTGTCTTAGCAATATCGTGTAGAGATTTTTCATAGCACAGGACTGGAGCTGTCAGGCTATCGCGTCCCAGGGAGTACAGTAAATGCATAGCAATAGGCTGCAAGCTGGAGCAGCTCAAGCCAGTAATCAGATTACAAACAGAAATTAGGCACATGAATGCTAAAACAGATTGGGCAATGGTGATTGGGAGATTTATAATATTACCACTTCAAAGATCCAGCCAAATCACACATTATATTCCTGCAGAATGAATGCAGAACACCTAAATCCTCATATATTTAAAAAAACAAAAAAACAAAACAAAAAAAAAC